CCACGGCACGCAAAGCAGATTGCGCTGAATTCAGCATGAATTTATTGTGCGCTAAAGTAATAAGAGTGTAGTCAGTGTATGATGCAATCCAACATTGAATGTCAGTGCTATATACGCTGCGAACACGCAAATATTGAGAATATTATTCATTATTAAATGTATTTTTGACATTGAAGACAAGTTACCTTCATAACTTCATTCATGTTTGTGATTGATGTTCAAGCGGATATTATTAGCATGCAGTATGCCAGCATATTCGCCGCAATATTCGCAGCGTATATTAATATAGCACTGCACATTCAATGTTGGATTGCATTATACACTACACTCTAGCGCACAATATCTGCTGAATTCAGCGCAAATGCAATCTGCTTTGTCTTCATTCACTGTCTGCTGGCGTTTCATAATCAAGTGCGGCCGGGCGGATAAATAAACTAAGTGCGTCACATGCAGTCATATCAAAACAGACAAAAGGAATCGCCGCGCAAATACGAAGCATGTTTTACTTCGTAATATAGTACTACAACGATGTTCATTCTTTGTTTTGTTTACTGAAAAAATCAAAATAAATGCTTTGCATATAAATTATTATAATATTTTATACTATCTTTGAATTGCGCTCCCCCCCCTGTAAATTATTATCATGTAGATCTCCTGTGGTGCAAAATGCTCTAATTTGCATAAATTATGCACGGTTCCAGATTCTGGTTCCAGGTTCCGGTTCCTGTATCGTTGTATCGTTGTATCGCTGTATCGCTTTTTAGTAGTAGCCTGTTTGAATCGTGCTAGAATGTGGATCTCAAGTGGATTAAATAATTCAGCCAATAAAATGTTGAGTTTTAGAAGGCAAATAGACAAGTAATTTCAACATGTCATTTTTAATTTGAATAGAGACAGAACGCGGTAGATTCGAACTATTTTGCTTACACAACAACGCGCTAAGCAGTAAAAAGTTGAATCAATAAACGGTATTTCTGTACGGAAACCTGAAGCAGAAACCAAATTCAAAATTTCAAAGTAATTGTTAACATCCCTATTTAATTCATATAATATGATCATGAATAACGATCGGGCAAGCGATTTGCGCCTGAACTAAGGACAAAGACACATTTCTATTATGTTCTAAAGTCTAAACTTCGTTAGGCCTACGAAATCACAAGAATAATGTATATTCGTTGCCTTTAATGTAATGGACTTTAGATTATTAGATAGGTTTTTAATTTTTATCTGTCAACAACAGCACGCAAGCAAACGTTGCTTTCTTGAGTGTGACCACGACGTGCTTGGCTTGCATTCTAGCATGAGCTTGGTATGTGTTCAAGCAAGCACGCTAATCCGGTGGTAATCTCCAAGCACAAGCGCTAGTGTGACCGCGACCTGTTTTAGTGTTACGGGAGGAAACCTAAACTAAGTAAACTTAAGTTCGCTGTTAATATCGATTTTTATAGTGGTATAGCTAGCTCTTTTAGTGGTGGACTGCTTTTCTCACTGATACTCGATAGTGCAGGTTGAGTATTAAAACTAATTAAACTAACTTTATAGTTCGGATAATGCATAGCTTTATCATGTAGTTCTATTATGAGCGTCATGAATGATAGTGACCGTCATATGATGTGTTTACATTCACAACATTTTTTTTTAATTTTAAGCAACACATTTAAGGAGTGATGCATTTTACTGATAAACAGTAAGATTTTTCAGTACCGTAAATGTCATGATTATTATGATCTGTACAATATTATGACATGATTTTGAGGTAAACCGCAATTAATATCGGATGGAAAATCGATATCCAATGGATTTGATGTCTCACTTATGGGACAAACGGTTATATACCTTGCTGCCCGCCCAATATTCGATAAAAATATGTCCACAATGTCAAACAAGTCATATACTGAGCCATACGGCAGGCAGTTATTTAGACAATAGCACTCGCGACAGGTTCCATCAACAGAGATAATGTATATATTATAGTTCTAGTAGTTGTGTTTTAGTTAGCGTTGCATGCATGCTCAAACAGTGATCGCTAAATCCCCACTATATATTACCAGTTCGCGAGTTCATGTTCTTTTGGATTTTGCTATTTTCTAGTGTTCTTATATATCTGGCTATTTTCATGCAATCGTAATCTTATATAATTATTATACATAGCTACCACGCGCTAGATAATTTAATTTCCTTTTTGAAATTATAAATCAAAGCAAAAATTGTCAACACATTCTACGCAATATTTCTTACATAGGCTATAGTGACTACTGTATAAGCATGTTTCGTATGTGTACTATACTTTTAGTTTTAGGCCTGATGACTACTATAATTGCTAAATTGCAGCGTATAGTCGCTTTTACAGTAGAGTCTATAGAGACCGCTTTAATAGGTAAGTCTCAGGACTCAGGTCAGCTGTGTTATGTACAAACACCGCCGCCATGTCTCGGGTAACTGATTATCTTTTGACTAATTAGAGCAAAACCGCTTTACTTAGCGTCTTTGATTTTGCTAGCATAAGGAAATCGATAAGACTTGAAACGTTTATAAACGCCAAAGTGATCTATTCTGTTTGTGCTTCTGCGTGCATCTGGACTGATAAATTAAATGCGTGGTTGTTAATTATGTTGTACGGACGATTGTGTATATTGTCTACGGCTTTGCACCATTCTGTTAGTCAGATCCGTTGAAACCGTTGGCGAATATCATTCAAACGGTTTCTTAATTTCGTTCGAACGGTTTGATAAAGCCGTTCGTAAAGGAGTTAAGTTTTTTATCTTCATCTGTTCGTATTTTTTACTCAAAACGTCTTCAACGTTTTGAAGATCCGCTGAAACGATTTGATAAAGCGTTTACTATCCGTTCGTTATCCGTTTTTTTGCCCATTTTAATGCGAAATCGTTAACGTACTTTTTCCCATGGAAGGTTATTTTATTTATTGCTTTTGGAGGTCCATTGTGTTTGTTTGAGTCAGGAACTCTGAAACAACTCTCTGCACTCACGTCAGAGGTACAGGAATGTACAAATAAAAGGCACTTGCCATCGTGGCACAAATACACTCTCTTTCAAGTAGATAGTTATATTATTTTCGTGATTCGTTCGATACAACCTGACCCAATCCACCAACTACAAGGTCAAGGATCTTTTTGTAATTTCTTATGCATGCATGCCGTTTGGACAAAATAAATTTCAGACAAAACTGGCAGGGAATACCTTTTCCTGAATATGGGAATTTCGCATGCCGAAAATTATTTAATAAAGGTCTCGGTAAGTACTGTGTTATCAGTCTCGTCTTCGGCTTGGCTGACAACACTTATACCCCAACCTGCAAGATCAGTAATTTCCGGCTAATGATTGAGAAAAGAAGTACAGCATAATTATTATGCAATTTTACTCACCGAATTTTGATAAATTTTATTAACACGCTGTTTTCTTGTTCTTGATAGTTCTGTATGAAGTTTTCAGAGCACCTCTCAGGTTGGCAGCTAAAGCACAATTGCAGTTTTCTCTTTGATTTGCATATTATAACTGCTTGCATCGATACTGCATGTATAGCTATAAGCTATATTGCAAGCTTGTTGGGGAGTACATGCAGACATCCTGTCTGTAGATATTGGAATGTTTTGCCGCCCTTTTTCTGAACAAAGAAAATTAAAAACAAAGTACTTCAGCCTTTTATTATAAAAAAATACTTAAGCCTTTTATGATGTAAGTTCAGAAGCTACTGGAAACTTTAGCCTGTATATTGTCATTTCTAAACCCTTCTCCCTAAAGTTCTAGTAAGAACTATCCTTGATTGGTCGAGTGTGTTTCCAGCTACAGGAGGAAACTTTAATAAACCATGCAAGAGCGCCTGCTTGCTGCATAACTTTCTGTATACACATTGGTGATAATAATCAATAATATATATAGTTTGAATTATTTCATCATTTTTTAACCTATGAAACTAAACCATCTCGAGAACGAAAAAAAACATAAGCTAGAAAATTTATCCAGTGAACTTATTCTATAGCCCGTATATATAGGTTCACATGCTCTTTTTGCCTACAATGCTGACTTGAGTTTCGTTGCCATTGGCATTGCAGTAAACTCGCCTATTTTCATGGCCATGCCCATGGGCAAATATCACAGAAGACAATTAGACTTTGTATATAGACATTCAGGCAATTACACCAAAGCTATAAACAAAGATTTAAATGAAGAACTTTCGAAATCTTTTTATTTCCCATAATTTGGAGATAGAAAGATATCGTCTCAAGCATTTCGTGGGGTTTTTATCAATAATTAGTGTATTGTGCTTTTTAAAGATATTTCATTATCTTGATACCATTGTTATAATATTAAAGCGTAATAAGATCCTTGACTTTGTGGGTAATTTGCATAGTAAAAATAAATATAATTGGGTTTTTTTTGTTTTGTCGACACATTCATTTCTTTGTTTCAGCTTTGGCGAAGCTTTCGACCCACGTCCATTGGTGCTATAATAATTTAATACACTGGTGAAGATCCATGCAGGCTTACAGATCGAAACCTAGTAATTAACAATTATTGAATGAGGTTTTTGTGATGTGCGGAATTATCAAGGTCGAGGTAGGCGTTATCAGCCGAGCCGAATGCGAGACTGAATGGCTGATAACGCTTACCGATACCTTGATAATTTTGCATATCGCAAAACCGAATTCAATAATTCTTTTATTATACATTATCTTGAAGAATAATAAACATAGTATTAACGTATTACGACACCTATCCATGTTCACATTTTTTCTACGTTTGTTCAAAATTTTGCTTTGCTAGTTTTCCTTTGTCTGTGTTAATAGATACCGCTTGCTAATCATCTCTGCATGGCTCATTTGCAGATAATTCAGGCATCTGCTAGCATGCAGATAACTGACTGAATTTTGTGTAGGTTGCCAGCATGATTGCGCGATTTATCTGCATGTAAGCTCTTAGCCTATCAAATTGCTTTTACCAACTACAATGTATAATAATACAAAATAAACGTGATGTTTACACAAATACCAAACAAATATATTTCCCGCGTGCAATCAAACAAGGCTTTCGTGGCGAAATTCAAACTTATCCACTGAGTATATTAAATGAAGTAATCTAGTTTAGTCTCTCCTTACACTGGATCGGGCGTCGATGAAGAACAGTCAGTTAATCACTGACTGCAGTTGAAATTCCAAAACCAAATGATATCATGAATGTTGACAATGAAGCTAGAATTGAGTATATTTTGCAAGAATATCAGTGGAGGAATAAGGACAAATACGGTACATGCAAGATCTAAACTAAACAAACTAGTATACTCTATAGTATAAATATATTGAGTCTAGTTTAGGTTTCGTCCGGTATATGTGAGAACATATGCAATCTACAATAAATAAAGCTATATTCAGTATAAATAAACTTAGTTTCAATTTCGTTAAATTTAGTAGTTGCAGTGTGCTTCCGTGTTCATAAAAATGTTTAATAAGACCAAGCTATAGCATTGTCGATTTTGATAAAAAAAACTCATTAATAATTCATGAGGAAAACACAAAGAAAAAAAATAAGCGTGTCAATTAAGCGTGTCGTATCTTTATATGTGAGACAGTTAGAGAGATTTCCCTTGATTTACATAAACCCCAATCTTCTCGATTTACACAACGTTTTTAGTTTGAAAATTACTTCGGCAATGAACTTACAAGATCGATCGTTTTTGAAACAATTTAAACTGACATTCGCATGAGTGTGTGTTTTATCAGACCTTTATACCTGATAAAACACTGCCGCTCATGTTTTAAATAGTATTTATTCCGTACCTTTATTAAACAGAAAACATTGTTTTCAGCATCGCATATAAGCTTTAAAATTATATATAATATAACATACAGTACTCGTATACAATGTATCATTGATCTAATAGAAACATTTCTGCAAAATATGCATGGCTAGCTGCTGTATTCATGTGTCATTCGCAGGTTTTGGGTGCCTCGCATGGCTCGCACTTTATGAAGACTATTTGCTAGTAATCCATCCTTCTTCAAGTCAAGAATCAACATAACTAGTCCTCCTTCAGCAACTTTCAAAATTTTGTAAGCCCTCCTCAAAATCATCCACCCCTATCACCCCATCCCTTAGCTCGAGTAAACGTTTGGCAAACGTCTTGTTATTATTTATTTTAAAGACGCGATATTTGAGTGGCAAGAAAGCAAAATAGCACAAGACTGTTGGTTTTGTAAATGACAAAGAGTGACAAAACAAAATACAAATGTTACTCAATCTTTCAAAATATCTCTATTGCCCCCATTGACACACATAAATAACTCATTAAAATGGGTGTAGATAAAAGGCGGATGGATAAAAGGCGGACGGCGGGCAACTGAGGGCGGAGCATTTTATACACCAGTGCTGTAGAACTAAATTTACCGGGTGGTGGGGAATGTTTGTTGGCGTCAATGACGTCATGCATAACGGATAAGCCATATGAGTCCAACCCATTGAATTATAAATAAACTGGAAGGCTAACTCAGTGGGGGGATTGAAGCCGTGCTCTGTAGGAAGTGCCAGTCTTTTTTTTTCAAATATTTTTTGAAAAATACGCTTTATATATCGATAAATATTAATCTTTTAACTCAATTCAATCCGCCAATATTAATTTCCGACGTATATGACGGGAAGATTAAATATGAAAGAACTTCGCGAGTATTTGAAGTAGACATACGAAAATACCACCAAAAAATTCCGCTTGATCGATACTATATATTCAGAAATATTCATATAATTTTATTGTTTCTCGCTCAATTTCAAGCGAATTTCTTACCTTGAAATGATCAATGCGGTGAAATTTATGCAAATGACGCATTATCAATTTTGCTGTTGCATTTTGAATGTTCCGCCTGATTCAAATGCTCTTATTTTTGCTTCTTTTCAACGTATAATAATAACAAATATACCAAAAGAATCGCCATCTTCTATTCTATAGCTCGGAGCAGTCTCGGGAAATTGCGAAATAATCTAAGCCTATTATGGCGATTCTCGTGATCGGAAAGTGTTCGGCCAACTTCGGACGCCAAATTCTTGGTAAAGCATTACAGTTTCCTTGTAAAAGACTGCAGGAATCACTTCCGGAGTGTTTGTTTACCCTAGATACGGATTTTGATTGGCTTAGGCAGAAAAGCAAATCTTTTAGAGCAATTTTCCTGATTATCGCGCACGAGAACGCACAAGCGTTGAAATTGCTATTAGTAAAACCAGGAACACCGGAACAACGGAACACCGGAACACGGAACACCGGAACAGCATCATTCCGGAACACGGAACACCGGAACACTAAAAATTCTTAATTTGTTAAAAATTCGAAAAAAAATTACCGGGGGGTGTGTGAAATTATTGCTGGAAAAATTATTGCGTAAAACATGCTTTTTAATAATATTCTGACTTGCCGATAAATTACGAACTGAAATCAGTCTCAAATTAATAAATATTTGCCAGAAAAGAAGAAATCAAATTGTTATTTGTTAACAATAAATGGCTATCTTTCAGATATAAAACTCGGATATAGTCATACATGCAACACTACTCGTACTAAATTTCCAAGTGCACAAAATTACCTACTGAATTGAGGGTCAGCTAATAAATTTTAAACATAGTGAAATAGACAAATAGACACACATGCGTTGAAATATTATTTAAGCTATGACTTACAAGGCCTACATTTGTTTGTATTTTTGTCCGTTTTGATTGACCGAAACGGCGAAAGGTTATTATCACGCTAAAAGTTTCCCTTCCATCGCTGCTTATGTACTGTGTGAGAAAGATCAAGTTGCTATTACGTATATTAAAGAATTGTAAGTGATGCTAAAGTAAAGGCAAACTTTGAACGAGAGATGAAAATTATCCTTTTCAACTTCATAAGTAAGTTTGTAAAAACAAGGAAGCCAATCAACTGTTGTTACAATATGTCTGTTAATATTGACCGAAAGCCGGCCAAAGGCGAAGGTCATGTTTTCAACAACAACTGAAAGATAGCCATTTATTGTTAACAAATAACAATTTGATTTTTTCTTTTCTGGCAAATATTTATTAATTTGAGACAGATTTCAGTTCGTAATTTATCGGCAAGTCAGAATATTATTAAAAAGCATGTTTTACGCAATAATTTTTCCAGCAATAATTTCACCCCCCCCCCCCGGTAATTTTTTTCCGAATTTTTAACAAATTAAGAATTTTTAGTGTTCCGGTGTTCCGTGTTCCGGAATGATGCTGTTCCGGTTCCGGTGTTCGGTGTTCCGTTGTTCCGGTGTTCCTGGTTTTACTAATAGCCCCAGGGCTTCCACTTGCAGGGAAATTTCCTTGCAAAAGGAAATTTTGGCCTGTGCAAGGAAAAGGGCAAGGAAATCAAATTTACCAGGAAATGGCAAGGAAATTTGAGCCTGGACAAGGAAATTGCGAGGAAATCTTGAAAATTGTTTATATCAGAAATAAAATTGAATTGAAAGTTGAAATATATTTGCAATAATTATTATTTGTGAATTGTGATGCAAATATAAAACTTGTTGGCATGAACGTGGATGATTATTCCTCGTCAGAAAGCGAATCTGAAAGTGAAACCAGTGAAAATCAAGAAAGTGCTACTACCAGTACGGTCACGTCGACTTCTTGTCCATCTCCTAAAAAACGAAAGCGACCAAAACAAACTCAATCTTTTGTGGATAGCTGGTTGACAGAACAACAATTTAGCGGCTGGCTTACCAAGCGACTTGGAACTGACAGAAAGCCACAACCATTTTGCAAGACATGCAATAGATTCGTGACTTGCACGAAAACAGGTTTAAAACGTCACTTAGTTAGCAAGTCTCACCAGACCAAATATGCAACAAGTACTGCCAGCTGTTCGACTATTACCAGTCTGTTTAACAGGGCCACAAACCGAGATGAAACGAGTTCGATGGAAATTAAACTGTGTGCATTCATTGCAGAGCACAACCTGCCACTTTCTCTCGCAGATGATGTAGTGAAATTTATTCGATCGCTCTTTCCGCTTAACCAGACTTTAAGAAATGTAATGCTTGGTAAACAAAAAGCGACCAACGTTGTCCGACAAGTTCTCGGTTTCGACTATTTACATGAAGCAATTTCAGCGTTGCGATCCCATAGTTACAGCTTGATAATCGACGAAACAACGGACTTGAGCACCGCAAAACAACTTGCTGTATTAACCACTTACTTTGACATGCAAAGTTTTGAGTACAAGTCGTTTTTGCTTGACATGCCAGAAATTGTAGATGGAACGGCCGAAGGAATTTATTCGGCTGTAAAGCACGTGTTTGCCGAACTGCACATTCCTATGGAAAAAATGATTGGCTACTCATCCGATACGACCAATGTTATGTTTGGAGAATTCAACTCCGTCTCTCAGCTCTTAATGTCAGAGTACCCAAACGTTTATTCTGTTAAATGTTCATGCCACTTAATTCATTTGGTATCGTCTTATGCCGCTCTGAAATTGCCAAAAGGATTAGAAGATTTGGTTCGCGACATATATAACCACTTTCATCGCTCATCCAAGAGACAAGAAGTCTACCAGCAGTTCCAGAAATTCTATGACGCAGAGCCCCGTAAACTGCTCTCGCCCGGGCAAACTCGCTGGCTTTCATTAGAAGCGTGGGTGAACCGCATTTTAGAGCAGTACCTGGCCTTGGAGCATTACTTTGTTCTTGTTGCAAATGAAGACCCAACACACTCGAACGATCGTATTCTCAAGTCGCTTCAAAATAAGTTCACCCTCGCCTACCCTGAATTCCTTAGCCACCAGATTCAACGTTTAATGCTTTCAATCGTCTCTTTCAAAGCGAAAGGCCCCTTTTACACAACCTCAGAGAAGAAGTTGAAGGGCTAATAAAATCAATTGCAAGCGATTTTATGTCCATTGCGTATGTCAAGCAAGCCAAGCCAAAAGAAAT